CAGCAGCAGCAGCAGCAACATCAAAACCAACAACGCAGGTGAGGGGATGCACACACACACACACACACACACACACACACACACAGGAGCCGTCCCTCATGTCTCCGTCCCTCATGTCTCCGTCCCTCATGTTTTCTCTCCGTGCTTGCTGTGTTTGTTCCTGCTGCAGAGAACAGCTCTGATGACGACGAGCCGCTCATCAAGATGATCAAGAAAGCTCCGAGCAACGAGCAGCTGAAGGAGGCGGTGCAGAGTCTGCTGAAGGAGGCCGACCTGGAGCAGATGACCATGAAGCAGATCTGCCAGATGGTGAGGGGGATCTAGGGTTCTCATTGATACAATCAGCCCGACAAAGACTTCCTTTCTGTGAAACATGTGAGAGTGATGAACGGTGCCTCCCTGGTGGCACGTTGTTTGATGTCACATTCCGAATATATTCTTAATTTAGTTTTGTGTGTGCGTTAGGTGTTCGACACCTACCCAGAACACAACCTGGCCAACAAGAAGGATTACATCAAACAGACCGTCAAATCTGTGAGTAAACACAAACCTTTTGAACAGGTCATGTGAGTTCCTCTCTAAATCAGTGTGTGTTCTCTTCGTTATGTTGATGTTTTACTAACTGCAGTGTTTCGTTAAGCAAAGTCCATACATGAGTCTGTTTGCCGCTCATAGAGTCCTGCTGTGAACCCTGAAAGTGTTGATTTTAGGCGCCTTTCATGCCACCCAAGGACACCGTACAATTTAAAAAAGAAAACGCTAATAGGCAACAGGAAATCATGGAGGAGACAATCAAGTGGACACAAATGAAACATATAATGGGGAGCACCGCAGTGAGTAGGCAGATTTGAACCGATGGGTTTTTAATTGGGATTTGAATATGGTGGTTCTGTCGGGTGTGGGGGGGGAGGGAGCTGCAGAGTCTGGGAGCAGTGCAGCTAAAAGCCCGAGCACCCATGGTGACGAGGCGTGGGGTGGGGACCTGCTAACCTGCATATGTTTGGCAATTTGCACAATGAGTACAAGTTGTGTTAATTCAAATGAAAGGCATTATAGCCTATAAGGACAATAGTTAAAAATGGCTTGGCTGATTTGCACATTATCAGCCTGGTTTTGGGGGTGCTGGTGATAATAAATTGTGCAAAGTTGAGGTAATCATGTTCATCTTGTGCTCTCGATATCCAATAGTCGCAGCCCTATTCATGGTAGTCAAGTCAGCCCACAGAGAGTGTCCACTTCCTGCCATTATTGATGGATTCAGCATCCTCGCTGACCCCCAACACCTCTCCGATAATATCCCAATCAGCCACGATATTTTTAAACTATTGTTTATATTATAATAGTAATTAATGCAACTTATGCTAATTGTGCAAATTGTCCAACATATGCAGGTCAGCGTCCGGTAGTTTCTATGAGCTGCAGACCCTGCTATACATTTCTATCATTAAACTTTGGGGTACTCGACATTTCTGGGTTCACACTGCTGGCAACTAGACGACTAACTTATCAGTGTTGTGTTTGTGGAGTATGGTACTGAGGTAGGGCTGCTCAATGAATCTTATTTTAATCGTGATTATGATTATGGCTTGCAACGATTACGAAAACAACGTAATCGAAATAAAACGATTATTTTTGTATTAATATTACTTTTTTTTTTTTATAATTTTTTTTTTTTTTGGTTTTTCAGTTGAATAATACTTAAAGTTCAGGACAACCAACTGTTAAAAACATACTGTTCAAATTTTTTTTCTCCAATAAATGGATGTTTTCAAAGTCAATGAGTAATCGCATTTAATAATCGCAATTACAATTATGATCCAAATAATCGAGATTATGATTTTTGCCGTAATCGAGCAGCCCTAATCTGAGGCATCACCTCATGATGGGAGTAATATAAGGGCCGCTCTGATTCTTACTTCATGTTTCGTTCAATGTCTCCTCACAGCTCATCACATGAAGATCTGAAGAAGAGCGATCGCTGCAGAGCATCCCGGGGGGAGCGTTTCCATTCGAGTCACATCAGTTTGTTTTCATGTAAAGTTGTTTCATAACGGTGTGACTTGAGTTTAGATTTCCAGAACAGCTCACCGGTGGTCGTGGGTTAGGCTTAGGTCATGATTTGCTAGATTTATTTTTCTACATTGATTTCCCTCCGAGTAAAGTGTGTGAGTTGTTTCGCAGTAAAGTCCAGTAGCTCTCTTATGTGACGCCAAATCAGACCTTTGCCTCGCAAGGACGCCACGTTGTTATTCCTGGATGAAGATTTGTACATATGTGTTTCTAATAAGCTGTTTTTCATTAACTCATTCGTTCATCTATGAAAGCGGTTTTTGTACGCTTGGTTCCTTTCCTCAGACATTACTTCAGTTTAAAATCCTTAAACTAATCATCTGTACTTATTAATGATTAAAATTGTACTTTTTAACGAAATGTGCTTTGATTGTTTTGTGCAAAGCGTCCAGGGGTCACAACGTGCGAGCTGCAACACACGATCGCTTTCCGTTCACTCGTTTGGATTCAGTTCACCTTTGACCTGCGTGAGAAAGAGCACGACTCAATGTGTTTGGATTCATATTTAATCAAATGGTGTTACTAACATTACTTCATTTGTTCCACCAGTCCAGCCCGTGCAGTCAACATGACGATGTGTCCTTGGTAGGGATGTTAAGATTCACCGATTCGAATCGGTGCACCGGCATAAACGTTGAAGATGCGAGTGCACCGGTCGAGAGAGAGCACATCGGCTACAGTTTGGGTTGGACTCGCGATGTATCGATTGTAGCGTCTTTGCATCGGTAAAAAAACGATTCATTCATATAAAATCCCCTCATCCTGTCAGCACTCAGCAGAGACGATCTTTGATCTTTGCTTCACACTACGGAGGCCGAGAGTCTCAGTTATCAACACACATGGAAGTCGAGGAGAAAAATGAAGGAATATATTTCATTACATATCAGTTCACCTGCTGTGATGTGCAGTTATAGGCTGGTGCTACTGTGCTGTGATTGGCTGTTACTGTGATTGACTGGAAGTGCTGTGATTGACGCATGCTAACCGGTGAATAATCCGTTGGAAATCAACAATGAACTGACAGGATTGATTATATGATTTGGTCTTACCCTGACGTTATGCTCTGGGATTGTAGTTTGTGTTCATAAATAATACCCCCAAAGTGTTATGTCAGAAATGTACAGTAGTGTCCCCAGCGCATAGAAACTTCCGGATGCTAACCTTCAGATGTTGGAGAATTTGCACAGTTAGCATAAGTTGAGTTAATTAGCATTAGTTAGCATATGCAGATCATAGCAAAAAAATGGCTTGGCCAATTTTTACACTTTGGAGTGGTTTTGGCAGTTTTAACCAGAAAGCGGCCATATTTGTACTGAGTGCTGATTTGGATGTATTTTGGTTCGATTTCAAAGTTTTAGCGGACTCAGACGGGCCATTTTGGAGCCCAAACATTTCAGAAATGGATTCGCAAGGATCAGCTATTGTCTATATATGCTAATTATTAGTGAACATTATGCTAATCGTGCAAATTGCCCAACATATGCAAGTTAGCATCTGGCCGTTTCTGTGTTGGGAACCGGTACTATACATTCATATCATACAACTTTAGGGGACTCAACATTTCAGGGTTCACTAAACTGGCAGCTAGACTATAAGCTAGAGTTGAACTTGATTTGTATACAAATATCTAACTTTGTGTCATAGCTCCAGGCTCCAGTTTCCTTCTCACCTGAACACACAGAACATTCCGGTCCGTGACCTTTCCCCCCATTCCTTTTTATCCTCCAGGTCCAGGAGGGAAATGTTCCAAAGAAAGGCATTTTCCAGTGAAAACAGAGCATACTCCAAACAGAGAACACATTACTGGACAACAGAGAACCTGAGAGTCTGATCCACCGTGCAGGAACCCTTCTCCGTGCCCATCTCAACAAGTGTCCTCAGGCAGATTACACTACACTGTCACTTGTGAGACACTTTTATCCAAAGTGACTTGCATACATACTCCATACTGCGGACAATCGACATGCTGACTGCAGTGGGGATTGAACCAGTGCTCTCCTGATCTGAAGACCAGCGCACTAACCCACTGAGCCACAGCCTCATAATCCTGCGTGTGGATGGGATTCTGTTCTGCCTGTAATCAAAGCACTAAGGTTCTCTTGGAAACGCTAACAATTAGATAATGGCCAAGAAGAAGATTATGAAATATTATTTTCTTTGTGTTTATCACCCCGGGTTAATTAATGTCCAATCAAATGTTTCCTTTGATTTATAACACTTTTAAAAGGAGCTCTGCTGGTATCAGTGAAACCCAGTGGTGAACCGTGGCTATGACAACTGGACCTTCTGTAGA